GTTTAAAAGAGCAGGGTTTAAGTCAAAATGAATTATTAAAAATAAGTGAGAAAAATAAATTATGACGAAAGAGAAGCAAAAAAGAGATTTAAAGAATTATTGTAGAAAAGTAAGGAGTTTGCTCCGAACTTTCTTAAACTTATTAAATAAGGGAAATTACTGAAATTTGGGAAGTAAAAAATTAGTCCTAGAAATGGCCGAAGCAAACTGAAAAAAGAAAGGGCAAATTAAGCCTGGGGTTAATTGGGGTATCGGGGAAGCAGTGATAAAAAACTGCTTGGGCGATAGAGAAAATTAGATTAAAAAAATAGGAACTATATCACATAGGAACTATTTAATTTACTAAAATATATATATGAAAGAAATACTGCTAATTAAAACCAGCGAAAGCGAAAAAATAAAAAGTCTGCTCGACCAAAATAAAACTGATTACGAAATTGTTTATAAGGATACTATTTCTTTAACAGAGGAGGAAACATGAAAGAGGGACATTTTACTTGCTAATAAAGACGAAGCCCGCAATAAAGAAATAGCTGAGTGAAATAAAATTAGTAAGGTTAAAGATAAGCAAGGTTGGTAATGGCGGAGAAATTATATAGATACGGGGAACTTTATTGAGTTAAATTTGACGAGGAAACTGTCGGCACAGAAGTAAGAGGACCACGACCTGGGCTAATAATTTCCGATAATTCTTATAATCAAATTAGTAAAAGGGTTATTGTCTTGCCTTGTTCCCGCACCCTTGACCCGCTTTATTCTTTTGAGTTATTTGTCCCACAATTGGTTAAAGTTGTCAATGGCAAAGTAATGATCGACCAAATCCAGTGTATCGACAAAGAAAGGTTAGGGGATAAAATAAGAAGTCTAACCGTGGAGGAAATGAATAAGGTGGTGGAGAAACTTCGGAAAATTTTACCTTTGCGGGAATTATTGAAAGCCAAATTATAAATTATGAAAATAATTGCTTGCTTATCCCAAAAAGGCGGCGGGGGAAAATCAACCTTGGCTCGTTGTTTAGCAGTTGAGTTAACCAAGCAAAAGAAAAATATTTTACTAGTTGATTTAGATATTCAACAAAAAACCAGCCAAGAATGAAGTGAACGGAGAAAAAACCAAGGCATAAAACCTTTAATTAACTGCCATTCTTTTCCTTTTTTTGACGAAAAACTAACTAAAAGCCCTTATGATTACTTAATAATAGACGGACCAGCCCGCATGAGTAAAGGAAGTTTAGAAATCGCCAAGCAAGCAAACTTAATAATTCAGCCTGTTCGTCCTAGTTTAGACGACTTAAATCCAGCAATTAGGGAATTCAATGGTTTATTCAAATCCGGAATTCCCAAAAATAAATTAGCCTTTGTCATAAATGCGGTTAGTTCCGAAGCCGAGGAAAAAGCCACGAGGAACTATTTACAAAAAGCGGGTTATTTTGTTTTTGCTAATTCTTTATCAGAAAAAATAAGTTATCGCGAAGCCCAAAATGAGGGAAAGTCCATCAGTGAGGTAAAATACCCAAGATTAAGAGAACAAGCCAAAGAGTTAGTAAAAAATATAATAAAGAAAATAGGAACTATGTAGTATAGGAACTATAAAATAAATATATGAATAAAAAAGATTTTGGAACTCCACCAGTAGAAGTTAGCGAAAATTTGCGTTCGCTAGAAATAGACAAAAGAACCTTACGCAAAACTAATCGCATCCACCAATTTAATACTTCGGTTAGTAAAGAATGAATGGCTAAATTAAAGGATATTTCCTACGAGGAAAGATTAAAGTATGTCGAAGTTTTGGAAAAAGCCTTGGAATGCTACGAAAAGCATAGAAAGTAAATAAATCATGCCAACTACTAGATTAAAATGTCGTTGTAGTGAAAATAAAAAATGCTCGGCTCCTTTACATGGCACAATAGAAATTATTACTTGTAAAAAGAATTGCGGATTAGGTTGTGATAGTGGTTCAAGCAAAAGGAGAAAAACAGTTAATTAAATTATTTCGCCTATTGCGTAAATATATGACATGAGAAGCAAAAAAACCTATCCCCATCCCAGTTATAAAAATCCGATTAGACTTTCACCACTAGCCAAAGAAGCTCAGAAGCAATTAAGAGAATTATCTGCCCGCATAATGGCGAATGAGAAAATTTTCCAAAGAAAGGGTGATAAAATTCCCGCTTTACCTTTTTGGATTGAAATACAAAGTATTGGAAATACGAGTATTCTCAGAGAGAAAATATTAAATAGCGTTCATTAATCATTCTTGGTGCTTTGAATGTTTTAAGTTTATCAGGGAAGCATTAAGGCATGGGATAATTAAAAATCGGCATGATGCTCGGTTTTGAGGATTAGGAGAAAAAAAGGCTTTGTGTGGGGATTGTTTGGCGAAAAGATTGGAGGAAATGTCCGTAAGAAAAAGGCACTTGTGGACGGAATATAAGAAAAGAGGGTATTGGGAGACTAATTAATACGCAATAGGCGTATTTTGTTTTCTGATTGAAAATTAGTTTTCTTTTAGCCACTTTTCAATTTTCTCCTTTTCCTTTTCATAATCTTTTAATTGAGCTTCTAATTTGGTTAACTGTTTAGTGAGATATTTATGTTGGCTAGTTAGTTTGTAGATTTGGGTATTTAAGAAACGAACATATTCTTTTTTACGGATTATTTCCTCGGGGGTGGGTTTTTTAGTTGGCATTAATAATTTTTCGCCATTTCTGATATCATTTATTTTCGGCTTCTCTTTCGGTTTCGCTTCGTGGGAATTGTCATCAAGCACAGCCGCAACAGAAAAGTTTTTCTTTTTCTTGTTAGTTTATTAAATAAAGTAGGTTATTTACTCCACAAAAGGCACATTTGCCGCCTTTTTGTGGTTGATAGTTTTTTAGTCCTTGACAGTAAAAACAGTCATTCATCTACTTTTTAAAAGGTAATGGAAGTTCTATTTTGGCTTCTTGTTCTTTTTGCTCTTGTTCTAATTGTTGATAGTAGTTAATTTTTTGTCATTGAGAAAATGCTTTGGCGATAGTTTTTAATTGTTGTTGGTAATGGTTGGCTCGTTGATTTTCTTTTTCAGCAAATAATTCGGCTCTGGCTTTATCATTTAAGGCTTTTTGATAAGCATTTATTAGGTTAGTATGGTTTTGTTCGTCAGCCTGAATTTTGTGTGTTAAATTAGTGTTAGTTTCCTTTAACAATTGGTTATTTTGCTTGTTTGATTGAACTAATAATTTTAAATTGCTGTTCTCAGCTTGGGTTTGTTTTAATTGCTCCTCTAAATTTCTAATTTTTTCTAATAGTAATATTTTCTTTTTGGTTTTTTTGTCCCTTTTCGCTTTTAATGATGATTGGTGTTCGGGATGGAATTCCGCTGATTACTAGTTGAGGTTGATAATTAGTAATTGCGGGTTTTTTGTTTATTTCAGTAAGTAATGGCGGATTATTATGCTGAATGGGTTTCTTAGTGGGAATTACTGGTTTATTTTTAATAATAGGTTCCGAATTGACGGATGGTCGTTTTGGAAAATTTTCGCTTGGTGGTCGCGGTGGTTCTTTTTCTTTGCTTTCTAACCAGATTTTACCGGTTAGAATATTACCAATATCATCATCTAGCTCTTGATAGATATTTCGTCAATATAAAGCGGTGGTTCTAATTGAGGAATGTCCTAATAATTTCTGTAAAAGTGGTAGAGGTAAACCAGACTCCGCTTGGTAAGTAGCAAAAGAACGCCGTAGAGTATGCGGCGATAACTCTATACTTTTGCTAATCCCCAGCTCCCTTTTAATTTTCCGTAAAAAGTGATAGAAGTTTCAGCGATTAGTTTGGTTGGGCTTTCAATTACTTTTCCTTAACTCTCTGATAATTTTTTTAGGAACATAAACAAATCTCTCTTTTTTCCCTTTTGGTTTAGTAATGCGATATAAACCGTGCTTGGTTTTGGTTGCTAAATCAAACCTTACCGCTTCACTAATTCTCAACCCACTTTTATAACCTAATAAGAATAAGCCGTAATGAACTCCCCGCTTACTTTCTTTTTGTCGGTTAGGAATTGACATAATTTCTTTACCAATTCTCTCCAAAATTGCTAAACTAGGAAGCATATAAGCAATTTTAAACCAAATTAGGGCATTTGCCTTAATAAAGTTTAGCCAACTTTTAACTAACCTCTAAAAACTTTATTCACTGATTATTTATCTTTTATTCACGAACTAACACTATGGTCTTTTGGTTAAAAATATTTGCGACCTTTTTCTTTCTTTAACCCTCTCGGTTAGGGTTTCAATTTTTTCTCTCCCTTTACTTTTTTATATTGTGTCATCCCAAAACTTTTTCAAGAACCAAAGAAAAGAGACAACAGAGAATAGTTCAGGAGATAACTTTTGAATAAAGCATAGAACCAGCCCATAACCTTACAAAAGAAAATTAAATAAAAGAAAAGAAAAAAGGGGCAAAATTGGGACTTAATGGCTATTTTTACTTATTATAATAAGTAAGAGGCAAAAATAAGTAAAAAAAGTGACATACTTCACCCCTCGCCTCGCTTCGGAACTAAAATAAATATATAGGTTGGATAGTCCCTATATTTTAGTTCTCATTTTCAGAGGTCGGCAAGTTAAGATTTAGTATTACGATACTGCTTTGCTCTTGGTTTACTCTAAACTGATTACAGTTTTCAACCAACGAGTTTCTGATTGGTGTCTACGATACTTATTGCCCTAGTTGGTAATCCTAACTAGTTTGTTTTGGCTGATAGTTCTGTCAGCTTCTAAATATGGCAAAACGGCAACTTAACTTCCGTATTGGCTCGCAACCAGTTTAGTTTTCTGTGCTAGGCTGGTTGTGGAAAACAATGAGGTTAATTTCCCAAAGTAAAGATTAAGTTCTCTATTTTCGAAAATTAATTCTTAATAGAAAGTTAGGGAGGACTTTTTGTCAAGCAAAAATATTCTCCTCCCCTTAGCAGATTAAAGAAAAAATAAACTAAAAAAGCGAAAAATTTTCCCTTTCTTTTTCTCGTAAACTTTGATTTTCTTTTATTTTTCTGTCAAGAATTAGTATGTGAAACTACTTCTTGGTTTCTGCTAAGAACCATTTTTGTTGAATATTTAAAGAGCCTGACAGGCTACTAGGTAGGTTCTTAGCATTTTCCAACACCACTCACCTACCAGGCTTTTTAAGTAGACAACTATATATATTATAATTTTAATCTTTTTACTTTCTTATAGTCATGTTTGCTTAAATCAATTTCTCAAACTTCATTATTTTCTCAAACAAAAAATATGCGTCATGGCCCGCCAGTTCTAATGCTATAATGGTTTTTGGTTCCCTGAATAAGTTCTAAATGCAAATTAGCAGTTTTGGCTCCTTTTTCTACTGCAAACATATTAAAATCTCTTTTATCTCGGGCATTATAGCGGTTATTTTTAAGTTTTGGCGGGTTTCCGCAATATTCTTAATTCCTTCTCATTGAGAAAATCATTGACCTTCCAGGTATTCTTTGACATTTTTAACCTTTGGATAAAATATCAGGTCTATTTTTCTTAAACTTTTTTCGTTTGACGAGTTGCGACATGTTTGAGATTTTCCTATCTTACTTTATAAGGGATAATTTCCTCCTTTAATAATTCCGTCTTTTCTTTGGAAATTTCCTCCTCATAACTTCTTTGGAGATTGAGCCAAAATTCCACACTGCTATCAAAATATAATGCTAAGCGAGCGGCTAAATCAGGAGTAATATCCGCTCTCTCCTCACAAACTCATTTTACTTGCTCCTTGGGAACTTTTAAGGCTTGGGCTAATTCTTGGGGGCTAATATTACGAGGGATTAGTAATCTTTCCCGCAAAATTTCCCCTGGGTGAATAGGTGGTAATTTTTTAGTTTTTAGTTATTTTTTTATAAGCATAATAATATTTATTAGGGTTTCCTGTTATGTTTTAATTTTACAACTAGAAGTTTTTACCGCTGACTTTTTCGGCTTTTATTCCTCATCACCCGAGCAGTTTTCTGTCACCACTTCCCCGCTACCGCTTAATTTTGAGAAAGTTCAGAATAAATTCTTCTCTTTTTCCTTTACAAATTCACGCAAATTTCCACAACTTTTTTAATAAATTTCTCACTAATTATTAATCTCTTTTGTTTTAAAATAAAAAAATAATAATATGGTAAATGCCCAAAAGTTTTTAAAAGAACTAATAAATTTAAGAAATAAAAGAAAATGCTATGGTAGATGCACAAGAGTGATTGGATAAAAATTATCCTAAAGGAGAAAGAGAAAAAATAACTAGTTTGGGAATTAATTCGCAAATTCTAAGAAAAAAGGGTTTATTAAAAGTAAACGAGTATTTAGAAAATTCTTTGAATTTAGAAGGTTTCATTAATTTACAAAATTTAGACTGTTCTTTCAACAAAATTACCAATTTAATCTTAAATGATTGTTCACAATTAATTAGACTTGATTGCAGTTATAACCAGTTAGTTAATTTGGGCTTAGAAGGATTAAATCAACTAGAAAAAATTGTTTGTAGGGGCAATTATTTAATTGATTTAGATTATTCAGTTTTAGACCCTAAAAAAATTACTTATCTAGATGTGGTTGATAATAACCTTTCTAAGCGAGATTTATCAATCTTCAGCAGGTTTATTAATTTGCAAAAATTACTAATTGGTAATGATGAGAAATTTAACAAAATAAACCGCAACTATTTCTTTGGTTCGTTAAAATCAATAGAAAGTTTAACTAAATTAGAAGGAATACATATTGGTGCAACCGACATAGCAGATGTAGATTATTTAAGTGAACTTTATGAATCTCAACAAATAAGAGGAAATAAAAGAAAAGAAAGGGAGTTACAAGAGTTAGGTCTTTTTCTTAGTGAAAGAATTAATATTACTGATGATTGGCAAACAATTAATCAAGAATTTACATCGGAATTACAACAAGAATGAGAAGAAAAAGGTTTTAATTATAAAGAAACTAGCAAATGAATCAAACTAGCCGGTTTATCATTGTGAGATGCTGATTTTTCTTATTACTTAAAAAAGAATTATTATAATCCAGAGGAAAATTTGGATAATTGGGAGAGTTGAGGAAAGAGAAAAGAGTACATTAATCATAAGGAAGCCCTAATCACCATGAAGATTGCGGCAAGATTGCCGTGAGGATTAGGTTATTACAATAAAAAAGAGACTGAAAGGGCATCTTGCAATAGTAAAGGAACAAAATATGAAAAAATATTTCCCGAAGAGTTCCTTTGAAAAGTTCAGGAAAGGCAAATAGTTTTGCCGATCAAACTCTACAACATTAAAGAAAATAAGGTTGAATGAACTGAAAATAATCCTAGCATTAAAAGTTATGCTATCTTATCGTACATTTGAGGAGATCTCTCAGACAAGTCCAATCTGACTACTTGAGACTATTCTTACCAAAATGAAGATGGGAAAATAGAGTCCAAGCAAATGGGGGTTTCACCCAAAGATAACGCTATCGGTACTACTAAGTGAAGCATCAAAGCTTTAAAAAAAGCTATTGAAGTTTGTAAGTTATTAAAGATTGATTATTTATGAATGGATCAATTGTGCATTGACCAGTTTAATAATCAAGAAGTTAATCAAGAAGTTCCGAAAATGAGACAATATTATGATAATGCAGAAGTAACCTTGGTTGTAATAGATAATCAAATTGGTGAAATAAGACTAAAAGAACTACTTTTTAGTCTTGAAAAGAAAGAGGACGGATACATAGAAACAAGTGAAATAATTCACAGTTCTGTGCCAATATTAAAAATGGTAACCAGTTCAGAATGATTTACTCGCTCTTGAACTTATCAAGAAGGTTGATTAAGCAGACAAACTATTTTCATGTTTGACGATTATTTAATTGATGGAAGGCTTCTGTCTATAGTTTGAGTCGATAATCAGCCGCAAGCAGCGGCGAGAAGCACGCGTTATCGTACTAACGATTTTAGAGAATATTGCAGAGAGTTTGTTGGTAAAACAGCTACGCCAGTAGGTTGAGTTTATTACGAAGATGGATACGGTTCTGAAGACAAAATTTCCCTAAGTTTAAATGAAGCACTAAGAAATACGAAAGAAAGAAAGAGAGCTTTGCCTATCGATGGCATATATTCAATACTCGGTCTTCTTCCTTATGGTGATAAAGTTGTGCCTAGATATAAAGAATGGGGTAAACAATATGACAAGAGAGAATTAGAAGAAGCTTTGTTGGATGTCATGAAAGTGGCAGTAGAAAATGGTTATGGCGAACCTTTTGCTTGACATGGTGAAGGAAGTAAAATTCCTGGACGCTGTTGATTACCACAAGTCGATGAAAAAACTGGTTCGAGTGATGTGAAAGGAGGACTAAAAGTTGAGTGTACACAAGAAGTTAACTTTACGAAAAATGGTATTGAGGTGCTAGGTTCAGAATATTCTATAGGGGATGCTATAGGAGGGATATCTTCAATTGATGGCGGACAAACAGTAGAAGGGCGATCAGGTTTAGTTATGCAAAATTTTTGAGTAAATACTGGAAACAAATGAGAAGAAATAGCCTTAAACGGATCTGAAGAGACTCTCAAAAAGATAGTAAAGGGTAATAGGCTAATAGTCCTTAAAGATTGAAAAATAACTGAAGAAAAAGGAATATATGCTCCCTTTTTTACCGTTTTAGTATCAGTAGGATCTGGAAACATCCGTCACAGAATAGATTTGATAAGACTTTATCAGCAAAATAAGGATAAGTTGGTAGGAGTTCTTGAAAGAAAATTAATAATTGGCACTGAGCAAAAATACCAAACTCACATTGAAATCCCACCCAAAAATTAAATATTATGACTAACAACTGAAAAAACATCCATCCAGAACTTGGTAGCAGCAGACTATGAGGCGAATATTTTCAATGACAATGAGAAAATAATGGTTTTGACTACGAGCAAACCAAGGCTTGAATCTTTGCTGATCTCAGACCCTGAGAATATGACATTGCTTGATATCTCGCTAAAAAGGAAAATAAAACTCCTCAGGGTTTAAATCGCAATGATGTTGAATCATTAAAAAAAGAGACAGAAGATAAACTAAGAAGTGAATGAAAAGGTTTTTCAGCCGACGAGGCAATCGAATGATTAAAGAGAGATTTTTCTTATCAAGAAGCTCAGCAATGGATAGAAAAAGGTTTGAAAACCAATGATTATGATTTTGCTGATTATTTAAAGAATAACTCTAATTCTTTATTTGTTTCTTCAAATATTGAGGAGATGAGAGAGGAATACCACAATGCTCAAAATTGATTGGATTTCAATTATCCTTTGGCAGAAAGAAATAAGGTTAAAGAAATAGTAATTAATAATCATAATTTAGCAGGAACTTTAAAAGTTGAAAACTTTCCTAATTTAGCAGGATTGTATTTTCCGGTTAACAATTTAACTAGTTTAGAATGTTCTAATTGTCCCCAATTAAAAGCAGTATTGGGTCAACAAAACAAATTGACTAATATAGTTCTAAATAATTGCCTTAATATTACTAAACTAGTCGGCAACAAAAATAATCTTACTAATCTTAACTTCCTAAAAGATCTATCTGCTGAAAAATTAGCAATGCTTAATATCAGTAGCAATAAGATTGATAGTAGTAACTTAAATCCTTTTAGGGATTTTGTCAACCTAAAACACTTAGGTTTAGGTAATTGATATAAAGAAATAATTGAACAAGAAGGCATTTATAATCACTTTACTGGAAGTTTAGAGCCTCTAAAAAATTTAACCCAATTAGAAGAACTAGATCTAGCGGGTACCGATATAGATAGTGGCTGAGAATATCTATCAGAAAGCATTCACATTTTTTACCTTTTTGCTAAGGAGAGACCGGAAAGTAAATCAAGTATGATAGTTGGTGAAGAATTGAAAAAATATGGTGAAGCAATTAAAGATAGACACGAAGATGATGATTTTTCTTTGCTGTTAAGAAAGTGAAAAGAATATGTAAAAAGTGAACTAATTTCTAATGTTCCTAATGAAAAATTTTACCTAATCCGAACTAATGTTGAAAAGTTTTTCTATAAATGAGGTGGTAATGAAATAAAAAACTTGAAAGAATGAACTACTCGTAATGAAGTATATAAATACCTAAATATTTCTATCCAATGAGCTAATCGGGTTGCTTCCTTAGTTGGCGGCAGTATGCTATTAGTAGGTAATGCTCAAGATAATACTCAATTTAACCTGACGGGAGGAATAATTGCGGTGGTTGCTCCTTTTGTTGAAACATCTACTTCTTACTTCGAAAACAAGTTTTCAGAGGAAAAAAAAAGAAGATGAGAAGAATTTACCCAAGATGCGGAAAACCTCTTTGCTAACTGTCGTGATTTAGAAGGTTTAATTCCGCTTAACTCTCCTTCTTATCCTGATAAATTAAACAAAGTTTTCAAAGACTTGAATGCTAAAACTTATGACTTTTTAAAAAAATATGATGAGGACAAAAACCTAGAGTTAGATAATGAAGAATGAGAAGCAGCGAGAAAACAATTTCCCACTGACTTAAAAAATAACTGAGAAAGTGAAACAAGAAAAACTCTAAAGGAAGTAGTAAAAGCGATGCTAAATTTAGAAAAGAAAGCTAGAGAAATCCATCAAGGAATTTTTTATGAGTTAACTGAGATAGAAGAAGCCAAAAAAGATGCTCAAGAACAAATCAAAAAACTATTGCAAAAGAACGGAGCTGAAGTTAGTGATTTAGATCCTAATTTATGAGAAGGAAGTGTTAATTGAGAAAAATACTTAACGAAACTGGCAAACTTAGAGCAAGTAAATGAATTTGTTGAAAACATCAAAAAAGAGATAATAAATCAACAAAAATTAAAGAATCAAGTTGAAGTTATTTCTAGTTAATAGTACTATTAATTAGGATTTTTTTTCTTAACAAATATTTTCTAAAAATTTCGTTGTTAAATCTTTCTCTTTTCTTTCCTTAAACTATTCCTTAACTCTAATTCCTTAACATACACTATGGATTTTTTGTGCTAATTTTAACTTTTTTGCTCTCATTTTCCCTCCTTTATTGCCGAAATTTGCTCGGCATATTTCTTATGCTGACAATGCGAACAGTCTTTTTTAGTTTCGGTTTCTAATTCGGATAAGCCTTTAACAATTGCTTCTTTTTTGGGTTGAGGTTTATTGATTTCACTAATTAAAGAAGTTAAAAGTTGTTGTTTTTTATTCATAGTCAAGAGTTTGTTGTTTTCTTTTGCCTCACAAATAGCCAACTATAACCGCTAAACTAACTATCGCAACTCCTCCAATTATTCAAGGAATTTTAGAACTATTGGGCTGTTGTTCGTTTTCAATGGGACTGCTTTGTAAAACGGCTTGTAATTGATAAGCCTGTTGTCTTTGGGAATTATCGCCATTTTTAATTAAGTTTTGAGTGTATTCCAATAAATCCATTAAAACTGTTCCTTTAAAGGAGTCAACTCTAATTTTCTTTTCTTTGATACCTTGGATTAATTTAGCAAATTGTTCACTAGTTAGATTTTCCAAGTTTTTAGCGAATAAGGGATTATTTTGTAAATTTATTTTCTCTAAATTGGGAAAGTTAGTAAATAATTCGGCAAAATCTATCTCTTTGATCTGATTACCAAACAGATTAATGCCTTTTAATTTGTCCTTATTAGGTAAAGTATTTAAAAAATTTAAACTAGTGATCTGATTGTTAGAAACATTTACTCCTTTTAAATTGTTAAATTCACTTAAATTGGTAATTTCACCAGTTAATTGTTTATTTTGGTTATTGCAGCTCTCACACTTACCTTGTAAGTTTTGGTGACAAGTAAAACACTGATAACCTTGTTTTTGGAAGTGATTGTTAAGATCCAAATAATAAACTCTTGGCTTATTTACTAAATTATTGATATATTCTTGAATATTGCGAGACATATGATTAATTTTTAATTAAAAATGATTTCTTTTCTGTATTTTGGACTATACATGAATGATTTTATATAAATAACTAGTTGAGTTTCTTTCTAAAAAGTAAATTAGTTTAATTTATTAACTTTTTCTTGCTAAACTTCTTTTTTTTTATCTTTACCCTTGCTAAGTAGTAATTTGAGGGGTAATTTTAGGACTTTGAAGAAACTAGTTAATATCACCATGTTATTTTAATTTCTCTCTTTCTCTCTCTGTCTTAATTCGCGGATATGAAAGGCAAAGAGTAAAGCAAAAATCAAGCAATCAAATAATAAAAGCATGGTTAAATAAGGAAATCGATGGGGCGGAACTGACATTTTATTATAAAGTAATACTCCAAAGAGGAATAATGACAGTTAAGCAGAAAATTAAGCAGTTAATAATAATCTGTTGACGTAATTTTTTTAAATTATCCATTTTTTAAACAATAAATTCCTCAGTTTGGGGAGAATAGAAACTAACCACTTTGCGATAGGTTTTAAAATTGTTTTGGTCTCCGACAATACTTTGTATTTCTTTTTGCTCTGCCGAATTAATTACTTTATTAATTTCCTCAAACTCAATTTCTACTTCTCTAATATTTTCTCAATTATTTGCTAATTCATTCCAACCTTCTTTAACTGTTTTTTCAAAGCAAAAATAGGCTTCATCTTGGTTATCATTGTTAACAATTAGATAGTAAGTATTAAGATTTTTGTCTTCTAATTTTTTGATGGTGATATTGGTTAAATTGCGGGTTGGCATATTTAATAATTTTTTAGTGGCTAAATTTACTAATAATTGCTTAATTTTTCTGATATTTATACTAAAAATATTCACACATAGAAAACAAAACATATAAAATATAAGTTAATAAACTGTATGGAGAAAAAAAGATATGACAAACCAGCACATACAACATTATCAAATAACTATCACGGCAATCTGAAAAGAGGATTATGTCACGCCATTTTTGGCGTAAAGGATAGCGAGTAGACTTAACAGTCAAAAAAGCAAAAATAACTTCTCCTTTTCGCACTAGCCAAGACTTTTGCTAAAAAGCAAGAGCCTAGACCAGCGACTTTTCCAGAAGTATAAAACAGGGCAAAGTAATATTCTAATTAGGTTTGAGAAGTTTAATCGCTTTTCGTTCCTTTGGATTTCTTAACCAGTTCCACCATTAGAATATTAAGACAAAAGAATTGGTAAACAGAAGTCAACTGTTTTTAAAAAAAGCGGCAAGCAGTTATCTAGTGCTGTTGAAAATACTGGGTGCCACCGTTGTGAGGCAAGAGCAACAAATTTTAAAATTTAAAGGAAAGAAAAAATATGGTATTAAAAAATAAAAAAAGACCTTGCTGTGAGGCAAAAAACAGCAAAGGAAGTAGTAAATAGATATGAAATGATGTGTAAGTTGCAATAGTTATCAAAAAGCTTGGTCTGAGGTATGTAAAAGCCACTGCGGGAATGATTGCGAAAACCGTTGCTATAATTGTAATAAGTTGTTTAGTGGCGAGTTAGTTACTGGTCAAAGTGAACAACTTGCTAGATATAATGCTCAAACATTTGCGGCTGGAGCAACAGCATTGGCACAAGAGGCTAATAGGTCAGGCGGTAGAGTAGAAATTTCGTCAAATGGTCTTACTTCGAGCGTTATTTATCATCCTCCCACTAGGTAAACAATGTTAGTTATGACTGAAATTAATAAACTAGAAAGTGAAATTAAAAATTTCCGTGAAGGTTCTGACTATTTAGTTTCCGATAACGGTAGAGGTGAAAAAACTTATACTGTTCGTTCGGAGGAAGCAAAACAGTCTTTACGAGATGTTCTTCACTCTACAAGAAAATGACGAATTGAATATGTTGCAGGACAAAAAGGAACTGAATTTACGACGGAACAAGGTGATAAATTTGGACTTTATTGAAAAGGTTTTGATGTTAACTCTCCTGACGAATTTGTAGTATTAGATATTGGTAATAGTTATCGCGATACTTCAAGTCCAATCGAGAAAAAAAGAGAGGTGTTTATTCAATCGGCTCGAAAAATTGAAGAGTCAGAACGAAGGATTGAAGAGTCAGAACGAAGGATTAGGTATTCGCAAGCAGGACAATTAAGAGTTGATCCTGAAAGTAAAAGCAATGTTTTTTTTAGTATTGAAAAGAATGAAAAAGGTGAATGAGAAAAAGGGATGAATGCGGGAGAGTGTCCTAACCAAACTATTAAAGATTTATTGTCAAAGTGGGAAAATGAAGGACTTTTCCAAAACAGTCCGTCGGTAAGTGGAGTAGAAAATAACAAAGACAATCAGCAGCAAGATAAGGTTTTTACTCAACGCCAACAAATTCCACCAAAAAAGTAATAATTTGAGTAGTGGGTTTAGTTGGTGTTCTATTATTAGCAATCTGATTAGTAGTGAAGAAGTATCATAAAAAAACTAGATCTCGATAACTATAAGCAAGTATAAACATTTAAGTCATATCATATTTGTCTTTCTTCCTTTTACAAAGTAAGGGGAGTATCAAACTCCCCTAATATTACTAATAATAATGTCAGAAAAAGAACCAAAAGAAACGGTGGTAAAGTTGGAAGAACACCAATTTCAACATTTATCAATCATTCTTAGTAATATTACCCAAGAATTAAAAAACATTGCTGGTAGGCAGGAGAAATTAGCAAAAGAGTGTCAATGCGAAATAAGCAATAAACCCCGCACTCCTTATTATGATACTTCTAACTATGGTTATGCTTATTGTGAAATTTGTGAAACAAGAATAGCAGGAGCAGGAAAGCATGGAGTTATAAAAAACCGCAATGACCCGAAGTTTTGGGGGTTGGAGGTCAAAGAAAAAGTGCTGTGCGGTAATTGTTTAGAAAATAAAAAAGAAAAAATGTCACCCTTACGAAAGGCCGAATTTAACAGATATCGGAAAGTTAGAAGACTTTAACTTCTTTTAGAAACAAAAGAAAGTGGGTACTCTATTCCCTTGCTATCCAAGAAAGGTAAACTGACTAAATTAATTATTGCCTTTGGGAGGAACTTCAATTTGGGCTTGGTGAGAAGATTGTTCTTGGGGGTCTTCTTGAATATTTAGTTCATCTAAATTATAGTTATCAAGGTCTAATTCTAGGTTTTTAGAACCTCAGGATTGTTCCTTTGTCTTCAATAGTTGAGCAATTTGTTGAGTATTAATTGGTTTGCTATGTCAAGTTTCTTGAGATTGATAAGTAGGATGTTTGATTTCATTTGGTAGAGTTTCATTAAATGCTTTGGTTGCTCAACGTTGGTGGTAGAATTCAGACTCTCCCACCATACTACTTATTTCCCGAGCTGTCGGTCTATTATTTGGTTCCTGCTCTCAGCACTTAGTAATTAAATCTACTAACAATTGAGGATATTTAACTTGTTCAGGAAATTGCGGTCTAATTCCTTGACAAATTTGTAAGGCTAAATTAACATCATGAGCCTGTTTAGCATAAGGAGGTATTCCAGTAAATAGTTCATACATAATCATACCTAAGGAGTAAATATCGGAGGCTGGGGTGTAGGGTTGACCTTTTAATACTTCTGGTGCCACATAAGGCATCACTCCAAAAAACTTATTATTATCGGCTTCATTAACTGGTTTGGCTAAGCCAAGGTCAGTGATACTACAACTTTCACCATAATCACCAACAATAATATTCCCACTATGGAAATCGCGATGCACTAATTTCTTACGATGAATATCTTTGAGACCTTGAATGATTTGTTTTAGGAAACGCAGTTTGCTGTCTACTCTACTTTCATCATAACGCTCTAACTCTTGATAATTCTTCTTCAAATACTCTCTTAAATTACCTTCTGCCATATACTGCATGACCATAATATAGTTACCTGCTGGGTCCTGGGAGATGCCATAGCAAGGCACCATTTGGCTAACTGAACTCCTAAACATTTTGTAAAGAGTTAGTTCTTGTAAAAAGTCTTGGTTGAGCTGTTGGGAATTAGAGAGAATTTTGAGGGCAACTGTTCGATAGTCTCTTGATTTTGCTTGCCTATTTACATCATAATATTCATCTTTATTTCTTTCTCAGTTCCCTTTTTCATTATCTCATTTTTCAATAGAACCCCCTTTTCATTGAGCTTTATAGACTTGACCAAAACCACCCTTGGCAATGTGTTCAATATTGTTAAACTGCTGATAAGGAATTCATTCTAACAAGTTTCAAGGGCTAGTGGCTTCTAATTGGCACTTTTGGATAAATTTATCTATTTGGGAGTTGCCACTAGTTCAGGTGTTAAATTCTTGCTGGAAGTGTTGAGCATTACAAGATTGGCATCAGTTTCTACTAGAATTAGGTTGTTGACATTCTGGACAAGTACCAAAGTATTCATAACCATCCCTTAAATCTATAAATTCTTCTTCATTTTCCAAGGCTCAGTCTAAGTCTAACTTCTTGAAGTTGAGGAATCAGTTGAGGAAAGTAACTTCATATGGTCTAATACTAAATCGGTTTCATTCTTCCAAAATTTTTTTAGTCTGTTCTTTACTAAATCCTTGTTTTATCCATTCTATGGCACAACTTGCTTCATCTGGTTTAAATCCTATATTAATTCACTCTTGACATTCTTCTTTACTAAATCCAGCAGCTAATCAGCCTTTTTTATATTTAGGAACAGAAAAACCTTCGTGAATATCTTTTCATAGTTCTTTCTCTAACTCGGTTTTAGTTGGGGATAATTGACAATTAGGTCTTAGTTCGGTGTCATAATAAAAGTATTCTAAACTAGTTGGTAAATATTCTCAACCACTAGTTAGGTCAGTATTTTTAATATCTAAACTGCTTAACTCCAAATCTTTCAAAGGTTCACAACTATCCACCCAACGATTATAAATGCCTTGGTTGATTTTGTTTTTATCGGTATTACCAATATCTAAATATCTTAAATTCCTCATCGGACTAAAAATAGTGAGGTCAGAAGTAGGGAGATTGTTATCGCTTATGTATAAACTAGTTATTTTTTCGGGATTAGTCGGATAAATTATTTGGGTCAGGTAATTATCATGACAATATAATTTCTCTAATTTTTTCAGATCGCTTAAATCCAATCTAGTTAACTTGTTATCGGCACATTTAAGTCTCTCTAACTGTTGGCAATTACTCAAATTAAGGGTAGTAAGTTGGTTATTTCAGCATTCAATTGACTTTAATTTCCAACAATTATTTATATTTAGCTTAGCAAGGTAATTCTTTCGGCAATATAATACCTCTAAATTCAGAAAATCAGTTAAGTCTAAGTTGCCTTCTAAGCCTTTTTGATCTATAACTAACTCTGTTATTTCTGCTCTAGTTTTGCCAAAGTTGTCAACGTCTTTACTCTCATCCTTTATTTGACAAGTTCCATTTTTCGGATAATTTTCATCTAAATAAGTTTGAGCAGGTTGACATGTTTTGATTTTTCTATACCTATAGGAACCCTCTTTTATCTCAAATTTACTACTATCGACTGAGGTAGAGATAACTATATATTTTAAATTATTATACCCTTGACAATCCAGCACTCCTGTTAATTGTTGGTTGAGGTAGATAATTTTTGTTTTCTCCTTATCAGGATAATTTTGTTCTAGTCATTGTTGAGTTGCTATGGAAGCCTTATTTCAATGCTCATTAAATTCTTCTCTTAATTTTTCTAAATCTAATTCTGATTGGGGATTATAACCTTTTCCTTTTAAGTAGTTGGCAAAATAATAATCATTATTAGGAGTTAAACCTACTTCTAATCATTCTTTAAATTGTTGACCATTAAAACCCCTTTTTGCCCACTCAGGAAAGCAATTTAGTTGTTCACTTATTGCTTTGACTTTGCTGTTGGGTCTTTTTTCACTAGAAGAAAAAATTTCTTTAATACTATTTGGCAAATACTCCCAACCACTATTGATATCGGTATTACTGATATACATTTTTTTTAATTTAGTCAAGCCTTGTAAAGGTTCTAAGGAACCAAAGAATTTATTATAAATATTTTGTGAGAAACGGTTTTTGTTATTACCACCAATATATAAATATTCTAAATTAACAAACTTACTAAAAACCAACAAGTCTTGTTCAGTAAGATTATTATCACTGATATTTAAAATAGTTAACTTTTCGGAATTTAAAACTGAATAATCAAAGTTAGTTAAATAGTTACCGGGGCATTGTACTTCTTCTAATTGATTTAATCCTGTTAAGTCTATGCTGGTTAGTTTATTATAAGAACAATTTAACACTTTCAAATTAGTGAAATCTTTTAAATCTAAATGACTTTCTAAATTTTTGTTTCTAATATCTAACTTTGTAATGTTCTTTCTACTTTCTTTTGGATAATTGTTATCCAATCATTCTTGGGCATTGACCATAATACTTTAATTTTAACTTTTTGTTAAATAACCGCCTTGCTTTTGTTAATAAATAATAACATTCTCTCTTGGGCTTTAATTATTCATACTTTTTGACACAACTTTTACACACTCCTGCTTCCTCATCTAATACTCGTAATTTGCCACACTCAGGGCATTCTATTTTTTGCTTCTCCTTGTTTTCAGTATCATAATCACTAAGAATTTGTTCTTGGGCTTCTTTTTGTCTAGTCTTTTGTTCCGCACAAGAATAACAATCACATTTAATTTTGCCTCTTTCTTCATGGAATTTGGCTAATTCTAGTTCTTTTAAGTATTGTTGACTTTGCTTTTCCAATCTTTCTGCTTCGTCAATATAACCATTTTCTATCCTTGCTTTTTCATAGCCTCAATATTTAATTAGTTTCTGCTGTTGGTTGTAATCTAAACTATTTCAACTTTTACCCTTTTTAACTTCATTCTTGGCAGTTTCTCAATAATCTCTAATTAAACTGCTTGCTACTTGCTCTAATTTCATAATAAAAACTATATCATTTATTCCTTTTTGGCAGTCTTGGAGAGTTCAGCAAAAGTCAGCATATAGTTTATGCTTTTGTTGGTTTAGTTCAGTGTATTCTTTTAAGGATAGGAGGATTTTAATGGCTTCGGCTCCGTAATATTTGGCTAGTTAGTTTGTAGATTTGGGTATTTAAGAAAAATAGACCTGATATTTTATCCAAAGGTTAAAAATGTCAAAGAATACCTGGAAGGTCAATGATTTTCTCAATGAGAAGGAATTAAGAATATTGCGGAAACCCGCCAAAACTTAAAAATAACCGCTATAATGCCCGAGATAAAAGAGATTTTAATATGTTTGCAGTAGAAAAAGGAGCCAAAACTGCTAATTTGCATTTAGAACTTATTCAGGGAACCAAAAACCATTATAGCATTAGAACTGGCGGGCCATGACGCATATTTTTTGTTTGAGAAAATAATGAAGTTTGAGAAATTGATTTAAGCAAACATGACTATAAGAAAGTAAAAAGATTAAAATTATAATATATATAGTTGTCTACTTAAAAAGCCTGGTAGGTGAGTGGTGTTGGAAAATGCTAAGAACCTACCTAGTAGCCTGTCAGGCTCTTTAAATATTCAACAAAAATGGTTCTTAGCAGAAACCAAGAAGTAGTTTCACATACTAATTCTTGACAGAAAAATAAAAGAAAATCAAAGTTTACGAGAAAAAGAAAGGGAAAATTTTTCGCTTTTTTAGTTTATTTTTTCTTTAATCTGCTAAGGGGAGGAGAATATTTTTGCTTGACAAAAAGTCCTCCCTAACTTTCTATTAAGAATTAATTTTCGAAAATAGAGAACTTAATCTTTACTTTGGGAAATTAACCTCATTGTTTTCCACAACCAGCCTAGCACAGAAAACTAAACTGGTTGCGAGCCAATACGGAAGTTAAGTTGCCGTTTTGCCATATTTAGAAGCTGACAGAACTATCAGCCAAAACAAACTAGTTAGGATTACCAACTAGGGCAATAAGTATCGTAGACACCAATCAGAAACTCGTTGGTTGAAAACTGTAATCAGTTTAGAGTAAACCAAGAGCAAAGCAGTATCGTAATACTAAATCTTAACTTGCCGACCTCTGAAAATGAGAACTAAAATATAGGGACTATCCAACCTATATATTTATTTTAGTTCCGAAGCGAGGCGAGGGGTGAAGTATGTCACTTTTTTTACTTATTTTTGCCTCTTACTTATTATAATAAGTAAAAATAGCCATTAAGTCCCAATTTTGCCCCTTTTTTCTTTTCTTTTATTTAATTTTCTTTTGTAAGGTTATGGGCTGGTTCTATGCTTTATTCAAAAGTTATCTCCTGAACTATTCTCTGTTGTCTCTTTTCTTTGGTTCTTGAAAAAGTTTTGGGATGACACAATATAAAAAAGTAAAGGGAGAGAAAAAATTGAAACCCTAACCGAGAGGGTTAAAGAAAGAAAAAGGTCGCAAATATTTTTAACCAAAAGACCATAGTGTTAGTTCGTGAATAAAAGATAAATAATCAGTGAATAAAGTTTTTAGAGGTTAGTTAAAAGTTGGCTAAACTTTATTAAGGCAAATGCCCTAATTTGGTTTAAAATTGCTTATATGCTTCCTAGTTTAGCAATTTTGGAGAGAATTGGTAAAGAAATTATGTCAATTCCTAACCGACAAAAAGAAAGTAAGCGGGGAGTTCATTACGGCTTATTCTTATTAGGTTATAAAAGTGGGTTGAGAATTAGTGAAGCGGTAAGGTTTGATTTAGCAACCAAAACCAAGCACGGTTTATATCGCATTACTAAACCAAAAGGGAAAAAAGAGAGATTTGTTTATGTTCCTAAAAAAATTATCAGAGAGTTAAGGAAAAGTAATTGAAAGCCCAACCAAACTAATCGCTGAAACTTCTATCACTTTTTACGGAAAATTAAAAGGGAGCTGGGGATTAGCAAAAGTATAGAGTTATCGCCGCATACTCTACGGCGTTCTTTTGCTACTTACCAAGCGGAGTCTGGTTTACCTCTACCACTTTTACAGAAATTATTAGGACATTCCTCAATTAGAACCACCGCTTTATATTGACGAAATATCTATCAAGAGCTAGATGATGATATTGGTAATATTCTAACCGGTAAAATCTGGTTAGAAAGCAAAGAAAAAGAACCACCGCGACCACCAAGCGAAAATTTTCCAAAACGACCATCCGTCAATTCGGAACCTATTATTAAAAATAAACCAGTAATTCCCACTAAGAAACCCATTCAGCATAATAATCCGCCATTACTTACTGAAATAAACAAAAAACCCGCAATTACTAATTATCAACCTCAACTAGTAATCAGCGGAATTCCATCCCGAACACCAATCATCATTAAAAGCGAAAAGGGACAAAAAAACCAAAAAGAAAATATTACTATTAGAAAAAATTAGAAATTTAGAGGAGCAATTAAAACAAACCCAAGCTGAGAACAGCAATTTAAAATTATTAGTTCAATCAAACAAGCAAAATAACCAATTGTTAAAGGAAACTAACACTAATTTAACACACAAAATTCAGGCTGACGAACAAAACCATACTAACCTAATAAATGCTTATCAAAAAGCCTTAAATGATAAAGCCAGAGCCGAATTATTTGCTGAAAAAGAAAATCAACGAGCCAACCATTACCAACAACAATTAAAAACTATCGCCAAAGCATTTTCTCAATGACAAAAAATTAACTACTATCAACAATTAGAACAAGAGCAAAAAGAACAAGAAGCCAAAATAGAACTTCCATTACCTTTTAAAAAGTAGATGAATGACTGTTTTTACTGTCAAGGACTAAAAAACTATCAACCACAAAAAGGCGGCAAATGTGCCTTTTGTGGAGTAAATAACCTACTTTATTTAATAAACTAACAAGAAAAAGAAAAACTTTTCTGTTGCGGCTGTGCTTGATGACAATTCCCACGAAGCGAAACCGAAAGAGAAGCCGAAAATAAATGATATCAGAAATGGCGAAAAATTATTAATGCCAACTAAAAAACCCACCCCCGAGGAAATAATCCGTAAAAAAGAATATGTTCGTTTCTTAAATACCCAAATCTACAAACTAACTAGCCAACATAAATATCTCACTAAACAGTTAACCAAATTAGAAGCTCAATTAAAAGATTATGAAAAGGAAAAGGAGAAAATTGAAAAGTGGCTAAAAGAAAACTAATTTTCAATCAGAAAACAAAATACGCCTATTGCGTATTAATTAGTCTCCCAATACCCTCTTTTCTTATATTCCGTCCACAAGTGCCTTTTTCTTACGGACATTTCCTCCAATCTTTTCGCCAAACAATCCCCACACAAAGCCTTTTTTTCTCCTAATCCTCAAAACCGAGCATCATGCCGATTTTTAATTATCCCATGCCTTAATGCTTCCCTGATAAACTTAAAACATTCAAAGCACCAAGAATGATTAATGAACGCTATTTAATATTTTCTCTCTGAGAATACTCGTATTTCCAATACTTTGTATTTCAATCCAAAAAGGTAAAGCGGGAATTTTATCACCCTTTCTTTGGAAAATTTTCTCATTCGCCATTATGCGGGCAGATAATTCTCTTAATTGCTTCTGAGCTTCTTTGGCTAGTGGTGAAAGTCTAATCGGATTTTTATAACTGGGATGGGGATAGGTTTTTTTGCTTCTCATGTCATATATTTACGCAATAGGCGAAATAATTTAATTAACTGTTTTTCTCCTTTTGCTTGAACCACTATCACAACCTAATCCGCAATTCTTTTTACAAGTAATAATTTCTATTGTGCCATGTAAAGGAGCCGAGCATTTTTTATTTTCACTACAACGACATTTTAATCTAGTAGTTGGCATGATTTATTTACTTTCTATGCTTTTCGTAGCATTCCAAGGCTTTTTCCAAAACTTCGACATACTTTAATCTTTCCTCGTAGGAAATATCCTTTAATTTAGCCATTCATTCTTTACTAACCGAAGTATTAAATTGGTGGATGCGATTAGTTTTGCGTAAGGTTCTTTTGTCTATTTCTAGCGAACGCAAATTTTCGCTAACTTCTACTGGTGGAGTTCCAAAATCTTTTTTATTCATATATTTATTTTATAGTTCCTATACTACATAGTTCCTATTTTCTTTATTATATTTTTTACTAACTCTTTGGCTTGTTCTCTTAATCTTGGGTATTTTACCTCACTGATGGACTTTCCCTCATTTTGGGCTTCGCGATAACTTATTTTTTCTGATAAAGAATTAGCAAAAACAAAATAACCCGCTTTTTGTAAATAGTTCCTCGTGGCTTTTTCCTCGGCTTCGGAACTAACCGCATTTATGACAAAGGCTAATTTATTTTTGGGAATTCCGGATTTGAATAAACCATTGAATTCCCTAATTGCTGGATTTAAGTCGTCTAAACTAGGACGAACAGGCTGAATTATTAAGTTTGCTTGCTTGGCGATTTCTAAACTTCCTTTACTCATGCGGGCTGGTCCGTCTATTATTAAGTAATCATAAGGGCTTTTAGTTAGTTTTTCGTCAAAAAAAGGAAAAGAATGGCAGTTAATTAAAGGTTTTATGCCTTGGTTTTTTCTCCGTTCACTTCATTCTTGGCTGGTTTTTTGTTGAATATCTAAATCAACTAGTAAAATATTTTTCTTTTGCTTGGTTAACTCAACTGCTAAACAACGAGCCAAGGTTGATTTTCCCCCGCCGCCTTTTTGGGATAAGCAAGCAATTATTTTCATAATTTATAATTTGGCTTTCAATAATTCCCGCAAAGGTAAAATTTTCCGAAGTTTCTCCACCACCTTATTCATTTCCTCCACGGTTAGACTTCTTATTTTATCCCCTAACCTTTCTTTGTCGATACACTGGATTTGGTCGATCATTACTTTGCCATTGACAACTTTAACCAATTGTGGGACAAATAACTCAAAAGAATAAAGCGGGTCAAGGGTGCGGGAACAAGGCAAGACAATAACCCTTTTACTAATTTGATTATAAGAATTATCGGAAATTATTAGCCCAGGTCGTGGTCCTCTTACTTCTGTGCCGACAGTTTCCTCGTCAAATTTAACTCAATAAAGTTCCCCGTATCTATATAATTTCTCCGCCATTACCAACCTTGCTTATCTTTAACCTTACTAATTTTATTTCACTCAGCTATTTCTTTATTGCGGGCTTCGTCTTTATTAGCAAGTAAAATGTCCCTCTTTCATGTTTCCTCCTCTGTTAAAGAAATAGTATCCTTATAAACAATTTCGTAATCAGTTTTATTTTGGTCGAGCAGACTTTTTATTTTTTCGCTTTCGCTGGTTTTAATTAGCAGTATTTCTTTCATATATATATTTTAGTAAATTAAATAGTTCCTATGTGATATAGTTCCTATTTTTTTAATCTAATTTTCTCTATCGCCCAAGCAGTTTTTTATCACTGCTTCCCCGATACCCCAATTAACCCCAGGCTTAATTTGCCCTTTCTTTTTTCAGTTTGCTTCGGCCATTTCTAGGACTAATTTTTTACTTCCCAAATTTCAGTAATTTCCCTTATTTAATAAGTTTAAGAAAGTTCGGAGCAAACTCCTTACTTTTCTACAATAATTCTTTAAATCTCTTTTTTGCTTCTCTTTCGTCATAATTTATTTTTCTCACTTATTTTTAATAATTCATTTTGACTTAAACCCTGCTCTTTTAAACAAAATAATTTCATAAATAATAATGGAGCAACCCTCCTTTATACGAAAAACAAAAAAAACCAAAGTTGAAAGCCAAATTGAGTTGTTGAAAAACCAAGAGCAAGCGATTATAGATGATTTGAGTAGTTGAGAAAATAAACAAAAAAAATCGGAATGATTAACTAATTATTTAGGCGAAGTAAATCAGTTTAGCACTAAATTATTAGCCGCAGCAGTTGCCAAAGAAAAAAACCAAGAGCAACCCGATAATTGAGCCTGAGAATACTTGCTTAAAAATAAAGTAGAATTTGCCTTAAAATTTGGACCAGCCAGAGAGGCTTTTTATCAACTAGTTTTCCGCAAAATAGAAAACCAAGTTGAGTATTTAAAAAGCCAACTTGGCACTATTCAAAAGCAATTATTACGCCAAGAGCGAATATTTGCGAGAATAGAAATTAGACGGCAAGGTCGGGTTCTCCTGGAATGTAAATCAGGATATCGCTTGGGTTGTCCTGGCGTTTATCAGTGCGATAATTGTAAGGCTAATTACTTCGTAGCTGACAACAATCAAGCCGTAGAAATTACCAAATAATCATGGCAAGTATCGAATTAAAATTCTCTGGAACTTTCCAAAAAGATGATTATTTACAAGAATTTTCTTGCGTTGGTTGTCAGCAATATCTTTCGGAAAAAGATATTTCAAAAGGCAATTATCGCCTTTATGTTAGCGACTATGCTAATGAGGTTGATAAAGAGGAATTTTTTGCCCCCTGATTAGGACGAAATCTAACCACTTACGGCTTAAATTTCTGATTAAAGGCTGTGGAACACTTGGAATGTGCGGAGGAGGGGGATTAATTTCCCCTTCCCCTTTTTCGCACATCTGCGTTTGTGCTTAGAAAAATTTTAGAGTTCCAAAAAAGTCAAATTACGCTCTGATAATTCTTTTACAAAAAAGTTTAGTAATCCTCAATCTCTCCAATCGACAAATTTTCCCAATTCTCCTTTTTTAAAATCTTTAACTGATATTTCGCAATTGCCTAGAACATCAGCGAACCAAAATTCTCCTTGTTTAGCAAAATGTACTCCTCCCCGCCTTAGACTTCAAAACTCATAATCATTGTTGATTAAGGTATCTAACTTCCTTACTTCTTTTTCGGTAATCTCTGCCTTATCGCTTCATTTAATCATAATTAAACAATCATCAAGAACTAAATCGCAATAACTTAAAGGATACCATGGCTGCTTTTCTTGTCATTCCTTTGGCACTAAGTCAAGGGCATTTTTTACTTCTTCGGCTTCTTTATCAGTTAAATAATTTAAGTTTTTTCCATCATTAGGAGTAAGTAAAACCGCATATCTAATGAATTCCTTAGTAATTTTTCTTTTATTAGGGTCTAAATAATCCCAATAGTGGTTTTTTTCTATTTCTTCTCATTCTTTTTCACTTAATTTTCCTCACGGGAATTCCCCTTCTCCATCTGTATGGTACTTTAAGCATTCTAACCGCATATATTTGGGAAGATAAAAGCATTACAACATGTAAGTAAAGGCTAATTCACAAATATTCCTTCCCTCTCCATATTCTCGTTGGAATAGTTGATAATTAATTTTTTCTTTATTCATTATTAAGTTAATATTATAATTTTTACTTTACTAAATACTCATAACCAACTTTTTCATATTCCTCTCTAACCCTCATTTTAATAAAATCCATATTTTCTCAAATAAACTCTTTAATGGCTCTGTATTCATGTTGCTTGATACTCTCATATTTTTCGTTTATTCTTAAATTATCTTGGATAAATACTCGAATATTTCCTGTTCCTCCAATTTTGATAACATGAATGTGAACTGCTTCTCGATTTCTTTTTGATTTATCTTTATCTGGTTCTTTAGCAAAGACTTTAAATTTATAGCCTCCTCATTTACTATGCGGATGCCTTTTAGGAAAAATATTAGCCATTATTCAACTTTTTATTTTGTAAGTTATTGCGAAATTCTAAGCAATTAGGACACAATTTTTCTCTTTCTTCCAAACTATTTAAAATAACCAAAAGACTTGAATGTTGAAGTTTTTTTTTTTCTTCTTCTAATTCTAATTTAGTATTTAATGGATGAGAACAACATGTATTTGTCCAATTATTTGGAAAGGTGATTTTATCTGATGATCTTTGTTGTAATAATAATTTATCCTCAGAATTAAATAAAAATACAGAAAATGCTCGATGTAACAATCCTTCTTTTATATTTTTCATGAGATGACCTTTGATATATATGTGTGTGTGTGTGTGTGTGTGTGCATGTAAATAAATATATACATATATATACTATTAAGTTTAGATATATAGCTTACAATTTTTTTTGGTATCAGATCCAATTTTTTTGTCATTTTCATCAACGAGAATACACATTTCCTCCATCAACCTAATTTGTTCTTCATCATATTCGTCAAGGTTTACTGCCATAATTTATTTTTTTTTTAAAGTTCAAAAAGAAAATAAAAAAATAGTGTTACATATTATGGTGAAATGTATGAACATTTGATATTTATCAAATGTTCATACATTTCACCAACATAGCGGGCTTTCCCTGTGATTGGCTTATTTTATTTTGTGTAAAATGATGATCATTACTAAAATAAAATTTTT